TAAACCCTAAAGCCCCAAACCCTAAAACCCTAAAGCCCAAAACCCTAAACCCTAAACCCTAAAGCCCCAAACCCTAAAACCCTAAAGCCCAAAACCCTAAACCCTAAACCCTAAAGCCCCAAACCCCTAAAGCCCCAAACCCCTAAAGCTTGGACCAGGCTGAGGTCCTTCAGCTCCGGCAGCTGGCAGGACGCCGGGGGCGGGGGCCTGGCCGGAGGAAGGGAGCCCAGAGAGCCCAAGACCCCTTAAATGAGGAATATGCCTTAAATGAGGAATTTACCTTAAATAAGGAATGTACCTTAAATAAGGAATATACCTTAAATGAGGAAGATACCTGAAATTATAGGGGGCTTAATATTATGATTTAAAGTATATATTCCTTAATTAGGGGGTATTGGTCTCTCTGGGAAGAGCAGCGGAACCTCGAAGATGACGAGATTGTAGGAGGGGACGATGTCGGATGAGGGCGACGGCCAAGCTGGAGGTAGCGATGATGACGGTGGTGATGGACGCCATGAGGTGGATGACGATCGTGTTGGCAATGGTGCGATTCTTGCGATGATGCTGCAGGTGTCAGCACAGCGATGGTTGAGGCTCCAGAATCCTAAATACACAAGCTCCGACCAACTGTGTAACGGTTTTGGGAAGCCTGCTTGCAAGACCCCAGTAATCGTATTGAACCCGATGCCAACCTCTGGTTGAATGAAGCCCATATAAACTCACAGCAGGAAACACCCTCGCGTCTTCGACGATCGCGCAGATCTTGACGAAAGCACTCCGACCGAGTTGTATGGGTTCTGCCTGATTTTTCTTTGGCTTTGGGTCAGGGTTGCGTGTCTTAAGATCATGAACCTGAACCTGCTGCGAACCGGAAGACCAAAGCCCAACAACGCCCTCCGAAGAGAAGCAAGGCAATTTAGACCCTTCGTAAGCTTTGTGAAACAGCTTCGACCTAAGAAGCTCTTTTGCGCCGTCCCAAAGATCGAGTATTTCACCATCACGGCCCGTTTCAACAGTTGGAGCGAGCGGTTTATGCGGTTTGTACGGCCGAAAGCCTTAAAGTTTGCTTGCAAAGAAGCCCTGCCCTCCTCTAAACTCTCTTTTAGCCTCACGTGGACCTTGCTCTACAGGACGCTTTGTCTGAACTCTTAAATATTGACTTACACCCCCTATGACGGGGTCCCATGCTGCTCCAATCCCACGAGCTGCGAGCTGACTTCGACCTAAGCCCTCAACCCGAAACCCCGGAACCTTTTTAAAGGAACCTTGAAAACACAACACGCCTTGAACCGAAAACACGGCCCCCCTTAGAGAAGCCTAAAAAGAAGCACAAGAACATTCAAAGCGAACTCTCGAAGCAACAGATAAAGGCTAAACCCAAGACCCTGCATCCGTCGAGAACCATTGTAGTAGCCTATGAAGCCCCCGGCAAACCTTGAGATGGAAGCCTGAATAACTACCAAGGATCTTCCTTCGGGTTCCTTTTATACCTATACCAAACAAAGGAGCCCTTAAAGGACCCCTAAGCGGAACTTACAGGAATCCTATTATAGCTCTTCAGGCCCCAAAACCAAGCCAGGATCCTATAATGCCTGAAACCCTTGGACAACCCTTGAACCCTAAACCCTGAAGCCCTACACCCTAAATCTGAAGTGGCGTATAAAAGATAGCCGCAGAAGGCTCGAAGCATGGACACTAGAAAGCAAGGGTTTTAGGGTTTAGGGCACCCTGAACCCTAAACCCCTAAAACTTAAACCCTAAACCCCATGAGCCCTAGAACGCCCGAAGCAAGGACTATCACATCGAGGCAGTCCAGGCGGGCGACGCCAAGACTGATCGGAGACTCCACCTTGATTGGCTTTCAATCGGGATGTACAGGGCTTTTCTTATAGGGCTTTCGGGGGTTTGTAGCGGCTTTTGCAGGGTTTTAGTCGGTTTTATAGGGTGTCAGTGTGTTAACATAGGGGCTTATACAGTGCTTTTGGTTTTGGGTTGCGGGCCTCTTAGGGTTTGGAGTTTCAGGGTTTGGGCTTTCTGTTGGCTGTGGAGATAACATGGTCATGATAACGATTGATGACGATTGCTGCTGTTGTTCTCATGTCCTGCTATCTTGACTTAGCGCCGAGCTTGAATTGGCTGACAAGGGTTTTTACAAGGTTTCGTCATTGGTTTGTCAGGTTTTCAAAATCTGTTTGCACGTTACCATTAAGGCAAGTATATATATATATATA